TCTGAGATGGAGACAAGCTGCTTTTCTCCCAGTTAAGGATGAACCCGAGATCCTGGAGGCATGAAACAGTTCAACGTACATCCTCCATCTCTGTTTAAAGTTTTATTTATTTATATTTATATCCCGCACCTCTTTGCCATAGCTAGCTCAGGGCGGCTAACAACATTTTAATAAACAATACATTAAAAATTCAATATATATTAATGATGTTGAGGAGAGTGGGATCTCCTCAGAGAGTAGGATCTATTTAAAATGTCGTCCAAATATGGGAAGATGGACATTCCCTGGGTTCTCAGGTGTGCTATCAGTGAAACCAAGACTTTGGTGAACACTCTTGGTGCTGTTTTGAGGCCAAAGGGAAGAGTGCGGTACTGAAAATGAAGACCATTGTATGAAACGTGCAGGAACCTCCGATGCAACTTCTGAATTGGGATGTGCAAGTAGGGCTCTAACAGATTAACTGATGCCAGAAAATTTCCTTTTTGGATGGATGATACTATGGACTTGAGCGTTTCCATACTGAACTTTTCCTTTCTTATCATCCTGTTTAGCCATTTGAAGTCAAAAATGGCCCTCATGGCCCTGTTCATTTTGAGACTATAAAAAAGACTGAATAAACCTTAAGGTTTTTTGGGCCTCTGGCAAAGGCTCTGTCACCCCGATGTTTAGTAGGTTTGGTACGGCCTTGAGGAGAAGGTGTTTTTGTGGAGAATGATTTCTTAGGACTTGTAGAAATTTCTTAGGAGGCAAGGAACAGAGTTTCAGAGAGTAGCTGTTTGACACTGTATCTAAAACCCACTTGTCGCCCACTGTGGACTCCCAGTGAGCCGCAAAAAATTGAAGATGACCTATGTTTGGTGAGTCTGAGCCCCTGTGGTAGTCATGCTGAAGAGCTCTTCTTGGAACCCCGTGGGCTCTGTCCTATTGTTTTGGTAAAGGAGGAACTATTGCCACCTGACTATTTGGGCTGCCATCTTCCTTTGAAAGGCCTAGATACTTGAAATCCTGAGGTATGCTTGAATTCACAAAAGGAAGAAAAGCGTATCTTGGGCTTGCTGTCTTTCTTGCAGGAAGGCAGCGACCTCTTCTTATCTTTATCCTCCACCAGATATCTATCCATACCTTCCCTGAAGAGATGTACTCCTCTGAATGGTATGCTAGCCCCTCTGGCTTGGGACAAAGGATCCACTTTCCAGCTGCAAAGCCAAGTATTTTGTCTGGCAATGACATCTGAAGCCATAGCCCTGGCCGAAACTTGGACTGCGTCCAGCAAAGCATCCACAGAGAAAGCTGCTGTGAGGGCAATCTTCTTTAGTTCATCCGTCAGTTCTATATCTGCTGCTGAGAGGTCTGAAGCCCAAGAGTAGATTGTCTTATCAAAAAGGGTCCTTACTGTGGACACCCTGAGGGAAGTCAAGAAAGGTTCAAAATTCTTACGCAAGGACTGTTCAATCTGTTGCAGGGATCCTTGGGGAGACTATCTGCTTACACAAGTAAAACAGCACTGGAGTGCAGAATAGCCACATAATCATCCACTAGTGATAGTTTGAAGTATTCTGCTGCATCTGGCACCAGGGAATAGAACTTGAAGGTGATAGGATGGTTTGACTTAGGTCTGACTGGTGACTCACATTCGGTCTTGACCACCTTATCGAACACAGCTGGGAATGGAATCCCAAGGGGAAATGACCCCACTTTTGGGAAGGCTCTAGCAGAACCAGCTGGTTTGCTCAGGTCAGGGGCTTCCACCTCTTTGCTGTTGAATGGAATTTCCAAAATGCACAAAATGGAAGAATCTTGTAGAAAACTTCCTGTGGGAAAAGATGAGTCTGCATGGTGGTGACCACAGATTTTTCTTCATCTGATAGCTCATCCTCTTCCTTAGGGCTGGATTCTCTGCTATGCCTGGCAGAATGATCTAATTGCCTTCTTTTAGGTTGAGAAGGAAAGTGGGAGATTTTATGTGCACCAACTACTGATGCACTACTAGAGGGAGATTGATGTCCAGATCTCTTAGGAGACCTAGAGGAGTCCCTCAAGTTAAGAATAGCCTGAGAAATGGCTTCTCTAATTTCTCTCAGCATTTACCCTGTCCCGGTTCAGGGATCCTGGGACGTAACCCACAACCCCCAGAGACCCCAATGACACCAACTCACCCAGGGAACCGGCAGACCAAGAAGACCCCGCCTCGCCGAGCCCCGTCAGCACAGCTGGGACGCAGTGGTCCGACCCCACCCGACCACGGAGCACAGAGCCGTGGGGAGCAGCAGAAGAGGCTGATGGCGGCCCCATGACCTCGTGAAACCCTACACGCTTGTGGTGTGGCCCCAGGCCGGCGGTGGCGTAGCTACGACCCTGGGGAAGGCGTCGGAGCTTATCAAGGGGGACAGGGCTGTGAGGAATGAGAGGGAGTCAGGGACGGGAGACAGCGCTGAGCGAGGGAGCTGGGTATAAAGGAGAGGGAAGCAAAGGGGCCGGGGAGGAAGGACGTGCTCAGAACTACCTGACGCTAGCAGAGAGAGAAGGTGTCCAGGGAGGATGCTGACAGGCTGGGGAACCGAAGCACGGAGGTAGAGGGACTTACGGAGTGGCGTTCAATTCTGTCCCCTACCCATCTGAGGCCCCAACGCTCCCCCCCCTTTACAAGATTTGTCTCCCAGAGCTGTCGGACCTCCCCCGCCTTGAGACGTCACGGCCACGAGAGGGTCTGCCCCCGGAACCCAGGGTGGGCTTGACATACCCCTTAAACCAGGGTAGCAGATTAGCCTGAGCATTATCGCTTGAGAGGTCCAGTGCAGAGGTTCCTGCCAGGTCGGACCCCAGTTGGGAGCCATGTGTGGAGACTTGGGAGGGGGAGAAGAGGAGCTCAAGACTAGAGACCATACTATCCTGAGGCATGGGCTCAGAAAGCCCACCCACGCCACCATTTCTTGCCTTTTTTAACTGGGAAAAAGAACAAATAAAAACCCCACCAGGGGGGTTCTAGTTAAGGCCCCTTCTTACCGGATTCAGAAGGTTAGCGGAGGGCTTGTGATACAGCTAAGACTGAGGCTTGCTGTATTCTGCTGACCTGGTAAGCTTCTGGAGGCCGTGTGGAGGGCCTGGGTGCTCCAATGTGGCAACTGCCAACACTCCTATTAAGAGAGCAACTGAGGAAGCTTCCGGACTGAAGGCTGGAGACCCCACGGCTTGAGGGATCCTGGGGGGGGAGTGAAGGAGCTGGAGGTAAGAATCTCCACTGCTATGAACGGCTCCTTGTTCCTTCTGCTGCCAATTGAACTCGGCACGCACGGGTGGGGGAGGAGGACGATGTCCTTCCCACTCCCGGGTCGATCTCCCAATAGAGGAAACAGATGAAGATGAAAATACACTGAAGAAAACTAAAAAGGAGAGTAGGAATCACAGAGCTCTAACAGAGCACAGCTGATGACGTCTATCTGCCTTGAGGCAGGGCCAAAGACGGATCCAAGAGAGAAGCCCCTCCCCTCCAGGAATTGCACAAAGATCGGCAATCCCCGGCTACAGGCAGACACTTTCCCCAGAAGTCGAGACTGCCCCACCCTGGACCACTGGACAACTGCTTGCAAGTGTCACAAGCCCCAACATTGCGGCATTAGTCCATTCTTGATCCCTTCGATGGGGCGCCGTTGGTGCCAGCGTCGCGGGTCCGGAGATTGGGAGTGCTCCTGGATGCTTCCTTAACAATGGAGGCCCAGGTAGCAGCCACTGCCAAGGCAGCCTTCTACCATCTTCGGCTGATTAGGCAGCTGGTTCCCTTCCTTGAGCGCAAAGATCTGGCGTCAGTGATCCATGCTATGGTCACCTCGAGGTTGGATTACTGCAATGCTCTCTACATGGGGCTGGCCTTGCGGCAACATCGGAAGCTGCAGCTGGTGCAAAACACGGCGGCCAGGCTGTTGATGGGCCTCCCGATGCGGGAGCACATCCAGCCTGTGCTAAAGGCGTTACACTGGCTGCCAATAGCTTTCCGGATCCACTTCAAGGTGCTGGTTTTGACCTTTAAAGCCCTATATGGTCAGGGACCTGTCTACCTGAGGGACCGCCTTTCCATGTATGTTCCCCAGAGAGCACTGAGATCTGGGATGCAACACTGCCTGACCCTTCCTGGCCCTAAAGAGGCCAGGCTGACAACAACTAGGTCTAGAGCATTTTCGCTAGCTGCACCAGCATATTGGAACGAGCTCCCCAGTGAGATCCAGGCCCTGCGAGATCTCCAGCAATTTTGCAGGGCCGTGAAGATGGAGCTTTTCCGCCGGGCATACCAGTGAGAACGATGGTATGCCAGCCAAGCCTGCCGACCTCCTAAGACATGTATTTTGTATAAGTAGTTAGCAATGTGGTCGAGGTCATGAATGAATGAATGAATGAATGAATGAATGAATGAATGAATGAATGAATGAATGAATGAATGAATGAATGAATGAATGAATGAATGAATGAATGAATGAATGAATGAATGAATGAATGAATGAATGAATGAATGAATGAATAAATAAATGCAGTAAGCACAAGAAATAATCGTCCGTTTGTGGCATTTTGGTACCACACCTGGTACACTTCCTAAAGAGGACAATATCAACTGAGATTATGATAACCTTGACAGAAGACAATGAAGATTGATAAAATGTTTTCTATTCTTTCTTTTTCATTGAAAAACAGTACAGGGACATTAGAAGAAGAGGTATTGTACCTTAGGTGATTATTAGCTTAAAAATAGATCTCCTCAAGGCCTGTGAAGAACCCGTGAGGAGAGAAAAGCATGTCCTACCTCCTTGGTGACAAAGGAAGGACTGAGGTCCTAGTCACATGCCAGCTTATGTGGGAACGGCTGAGAGAAAAACGGGAGCACACCTAGCGCTTTAGAAAGCACTAAAAGAGAAGAGCTTTCTAGTAAAACGTTGGCAACGTGCCTGTGCAGTCCCATGTGGAACTGGCAAAGAAGCCACAATGATGACAGAGACTTCTTTCAAGAGTCTTACCTGTGGACTGTGTGTTTCACAATCCATAGCTTGTACAGCAGCAGTGAAGTGTCCACCACTATGTCGATGCTGATGTGTAGGATCTGAACGCGCTCTTCCACTGTTGCTTGTCCCAGACGAGCCACCTTTGGTTATTGTTGAAAAATACATGAAAAATAAAAGTATAAAAATTACCATTAGGAGGTTTTCCTAAGAAGGAAAAGCAAGACTAAATAAATAGATTCCCAACTGACTGAGAAAGAAAAGAAAACTGAGATGCTAATTGAAAGCTTGTTTTTAAGGGCAGATTTGAGATTTCAGAGATAAATCATTTTAAATAAATTCAATAAATAAAACATACTTATCTTAGTACATTTCAAAAATAAAAAGGGGACAATTGGAATATACCTGAGCTTGAAGATGTGCTAGAGGTGGTTCCTGAAGATTGCGACTGCTCCATAGCAGGACTCGTAGATACACTATTACTCGTGTTGGTACCTTCATCTGCTGTTTTCTTAAAGAAACTATGTTGCAGGGCATAGTAAGGTTGAATTCGGGTTTTCGGATCATAGTCAAGCATCCTTAAAATGAGGTCTTTGAACTTCAAGTAGTCAGCTACAGTATGACCCGATTCCCCAGCACGACGCCCCCCTGGTCCTCCTGTTTCAACTCCAAGTATATTATGAAGCTTACGAGTTCCAGGTGGTTTGTACTCCTGCTGGGAAATAAGAAGTTCCTTAAATGTAATGAAATGAAAAATATAAAGTAGTTTGTCACACCTCAATTTAGCAAAGGAAAAAAACCCTGTAAAAATTATCAGTTCTCAAAACATACACCATATTTTAAGTAGTCTATGTGTCTTGCTGAAGATAAGACTGTGTATTTAAAAAGAATACAACAATTACCAAAGACTGTATCTACATGTGAGCCTGTAATCCTTTGTGGAAAAAATGGTCATTTAAATGAATGGGAATTACAAAAAAAATAATAACTTAAGGGTTGAAGTTCAAGATAAACTTACCCTTTTCCCATCTTTGGTCTTCTTTAAGTTCCAAGTGCCATCTGGCAACTTCTCAAAGAACTTTCTTGCTTTTGGTGCTTGGTCAAGAATGTGTGCAGGTGCTACACCCAAAACTTCTACTATTTTATTCATCTGATCCACCTGTTTATATGAAAAAATAAATGGGGAAATTGGGGAAAGGTCCATAAAGCGTAAGTACTAAGCAACAAAACATGAGCTAAAATTTAGAGATGATTACAAAATCTGATGTTTCTTGGATTGTTCACTGTAGCAAATCCTGTATCATGGGATCCTTTCTCCCTCAACCATTTTTGCCTTCGTGTCCTCTAAGAAAGGTTCTGCTCTACTAAAGTATGAATATTGAACTTCAAGCGGAATCATCAGTAATTTAGAGGGACTAAAACCTAACAGACAGAATAGCAGAAATCTCATCATCCCTACTAAATCAAGCTATGTACAGAGTGGTTACTATTTACTATTTATTATTACGGTCATAGACCAACAATCAATACAATAGGAGGCAGATAAATAATTGATAAAAGAACAGTAAAATTATAAAATATAATAGCATCTAAAACCATAGATAGGAATCTAAAAAGTTTAAAATACAGAAATGGTAAAATTAATATTAAGATCAGAAATTAAAAATAAATCTAGGCCTATCTGTACTCCTTTATCTCTTTCCTAGTTTGGTATGCCAACCAACCAAATGTACATGGTGGTTAATTTAGTGTCACCTGTTTGGAAAACTAAATCTCTTCCTCACAGGTGCAAAGCAAGGGCAAGTTTGCACGATCCTTTGTTGCGTATCCCAAATGATGCTAACTGTATCTAATTTAACAGCAACGCATTTAATCAGATCATTGATTTTTGTGGGATTACATACCTCATTTGCTCCACTGAACAGGGGTTCTCCAGTGTGCATTTCTACTAAGATACAACCAAGGGACCACATATCAATTGCAAGATCATAAGGCATTCCCAATAGCACCTCTGGTGATCGATAAAAACGACTCTGGATATACTGATATATCTGCATTTTAAAAACAAAGATATTATATGACTTGAAGCACATTTCTGGTACAGATGCTCAATGGTTTACAACAGAAAATTACAATTTGCAGATTTTAAAAACAATTAAATATGTTATCCAATTCTCTTTGAATAAAATTACAAGATACTTCATTTTAATAAAATTATTACTATTCTGCTAGTGTATTTTAAACCTGTTTGGTGTTAAAATTACAGCACCAACTTTATTAAAAGTCGTCATGTCTTATTCTCATAGAAGCCCAGATCCAAATGAATATGCATTCCATGGTAACCCTGAGAACCCTTCTGTTATTGTAAAGGACTGGTTTAAATCTCTTTTCTATACACATTTTAAATTCAAGAATGAACAAGAATGGATTTACAGAAATACACTGAAATCTATATCACTCTTCAAATTTCTTTAGATGAATGTTAATGCTTACCCTCTGTCCAAGTTGGCAAGAGCTGCCAAAATCAACTATCTTGATAGCGCTTCGTTTGGGATTACAAAGGAGAATATTCTCAGGTTTTAGGTCACAGTGAATGATGCTAAGTTCAGGAGTTGCAAGAAAAAGCAGTGCAGTGCACATCTGTTGTGCAAATTTTCGTGTCAGGTTCAGTGAAACCCCTCTGAAGTTCGTGTTCCGCAACAGGTCATAAAGGTTGTAGGAGAGCATTTCAAAAACTAAACAGAGATGGTTTCGGAACATAAAATGGCGCTTCAAATGCACTAAAAAAAATTAAAGTATTTTAAAAATGAGAACAAATACTTAGCATAGTTTACAAAATTTTATTAATATGCTGCATGTTTCCTTACTGAATCATTTATAAAAAATATATACATTCAAATAATTCTTTGTTCTCCAGCATTGTATTTCAAGGTGAATGTATGTTATTCAATGATACTATTGACAGGGAACAGTACTGGTAGGATGGATCAAAGGATACACAACTCCCTTCACATAGTGGGGAGTGGGAGTGAGAGCACACCTTCCTCCCCTCCACACACCAGGTGTTCACATCCTACATTTGACACCACCAGATATCCATGTGCAGGTATGGCATTACAAACGACATCTGTGTGTTTTCCTCTAACAGTTCTTCTTATGTGACAACCCCAAGAATAATTCCAAAATCGTATATCTGCATGTTCATCTATGTTCAAAATTAGATTAAAAATCCATAATACAAGACCATGTAAATATAGGGCATACTTTTTTTTAGACCTGGAGGACCCTTCCGGGTTTGCAGAAAAATACAAGGAGGAGGAGGATTTCCACAAAGCAATTGCTTACTGAGATCTCATGGAAGCTTGCAAGATCACACTCAGCAGTATGGGTCTGCCTAGTCCTGGACCTAGGCAACTCTTGCCTGACTGCAGCTTTGAAGAAAGCAGCAGAAAAAAATGGTGAGTAGAGGTGGGAGGAATGAAAGACAGGGGACCGGGGGGGGGGGTATTAAAAGACAGGGAGCAATGTGTAGGGTGGAATCCCCCCCCCAAGATGTCTACCTTGTACCTAACAAACTTCAATATAAATATTCTGCTGAAGTGAAAAATTGATTCTTTAAAATCAATATAACTAATACAGCAGTTTTAAAAAACTGGCAAGCTGCCATCCCTCGGGTAGTTTTGCCTCTGTTTTGGTATCTAGAATATGCTAGGCATTTAAAGGCAATTCCTGGAAAGTCCAAGGCTGCTTTGGACTGTCCAATGCATTCTGAATGGTTCTGCATTTGCTTTCAAGCAACATGTTTTATCTCATGGTAAAGCAATGGCAATTCATTCTAGTGCTCAAGAAAGACATAAAAGTAGTCATACAAGTTTGAAGATTCCATTTATTTTTCCAAATTTTATGGAAGCATTATACGGTAAATGAAAAACAAAGAAAAAAACAGGTTGCTTACCTGTAACTGATGTTCTTTGAGTGGTCATCTGTGCATTCACACCCATGGGAATAGGGCACCTGCGTCAATCACAATCTGTAAGCTACCAGGCTGGAAAGGATTTTTGCGCCCTTTCCCCGGTGTCATGCACAGGAGCCCTACTGCACATGCTCACTGGGATGGATGCAGACATCCTGCCAGTTCCTTCTGACTGCTGAATGATCCCTTTGAGCACCAGAGGACCAACAGCAGTAGGGAAGGAGAGTGGGTGGTGTGAATGCACAGATGACCACTCAAAGATCATCACTTACAGGTAAGCAACCTGTTTATCTTCTTTGTGGTCTCTGTGCATCACACCCATGGGAAAGTAGCAAGCTCAGGCCTGCCTGGAGGTGGGTGCTGGTAGGTACTCAGGTACAAGCAGACTGCAAGACAGACCATTGCACCATTGTCCATTGATGCAGACAGATGTCCAGGGCATAGTGTTTCACAGACGTTATGTGGACTAGCTCACGTAGCTGCCCTGCAGGTCTCCTGTAACAGTGTGCCATTAAGGAAAGCAGTTGAAGTATTCAGATTTTGAGCACATACAGGTCTAGGAAGCTGGCATTTAGCCAATAGATAGCATAGTTTGAGAGTCTCTGCTATCCACTTTGATAATCTTTGAGAGGATATTTTGTATCTCTTCCTGTGCGTCCCATAGGATACAACGATATTAGGGTCTTTCCAGTATGACCATGTTCTGTGCAGAAAGAAAAACAAGGCCCTTTTTACGTCAAGGAAGAGAGGTTTCCTATCATTTTCATCCTTAGGTGAAGGAAGTCTGGAAGTGAAATGTCGGACTGGAGATGGAATTCTGTGATTACTTTCGGCAGGAAGTTCACATCTGGAACTAGAGACATGCCATTCTCATGGAAATGCAGGTACGGGGGGCTCGCCTCGAAGCGCTATAAGTTCCCACACCCGTCTGGTGAAAGTGATGGCCACGAGAAAAGCAGTCTTCCAAGACAGGTGTTGTAAGGCACAAATGGCCTTGGGTTCAAACAGTTTCCTTGTCAGTTTGTGTAGAATCAGGAGCAGATCCCATGCTGGTGTAGGCTGTTTAACAGGTGGGTATAAATGAAGTAGCACTTTTGGAAAACATATAGTGTCTAGATTAGCAAATATACAATGACCTTCTACAGGTTGGTGATGAGCTGAGATGGCAGCCAAATACACATGGAGCAAAGAGTGGCTTAGGCCAAAATCCACCAAAGAAAGCAGAAAATTGAAAACAACCGATAGACCAGCCCGGTTTCGGAGCACAGTTACCAAGGTAGCATATTTCATTAACCTGTTCCATTTATAGGAATAAGATCTACATGTAGATACTTTCCAGCTGTTCAGCATAACTTGTCTCACATGGTCAGAGAAACAGATGAGTCTTACTTTCCACGCCGTGAGTTTCAGGCGAGGAACGTTGTGGTGTAGAACGTGTCCCCCATGGGTGAGAAGAAGGTCCACAACTGGGGGGAAGTGATGGAAGGTTCCTCAGAAGAGGTGGAGTACCACTGGAAACCAGTGTTGATATGGCCACCAAGGTGCAATCAGAATGTAATATGGTTCTTCCCATATGTTTTTTTCACCACTCTGGTAACCAGGGGGAAAGCGGGGAACAGATAAAGGTGTTGGTGTACCCATGGGTACAGGAGGCCATCCCCTAGAGACAAGGGATCCAAGCCCCCTCTGCAGCTGAAGGCGGGACAAGAGTGGAAGCAGGTTGGAGGTAAGTGCAATTGAGTTCCCATTCATGGAAGGATGCCTCTCCCCTGCTCAGAAGCGTTGGCCTTTTTTATTGCAGTCGCACACTGTCTCAACATTTTCATTGAGTTATCTACCACGACTCCAAGATCTCTCTCTCGGTCAGTCTCTGCCAGTTTGGACCCCATCAATGTGTATTTATAGTTAGGATTTTTTGCTCTAATGTGCATCACTTTGCACTTGGTCACATTGAACCCCCTTTGCCATGTTGACGCCCACTCACCTATCTTTGACAGATCCCTTTGGAGTGCCTCACAATCCTCCCAGGTTCTCACCACCCTGAACAACTTTGCATCATCTGCAAATTTAGCCACTTTGTTGCTTACTCCCAACTCCAAATCATTAGTAAACAAGTTAAAAAGCATCGGACCGAGTACTAATCGCTGTGGTACCCCAACCCCATTGCTTACCACTCTCCACTGAGAAAATTGCCCATTTATACACTCTGTTTCCTATTAATTAGCCAGTTTTTGATCCACAAGAGGACTTGTCCTTTTATCCCATGACTATTGAGCTAACCTAGGAGTAGAGATGTGGGGACTTCTGGTTTATGGAGCAGCGATGGTGGATGCTCTCCCTGAACCGCAGGAGAGCGATCCGCACACCAGCAGACTGGAGGGGTGCCACCTCAAGTGACACCCCACGGAGCCTTTGCGAAAGGCTCCAGGGCAGAGGGCTTTTGAGGGGTAGCCTCTTCGATGGCATAATGCCAGAGAATCGAGGCTCCCCTCCACCCTGACGGTCCAGTCGCTGTGTGGCCTTTGGGCACTAGCCGGGTTGACCAGGACAAGTGCCGGAGATCGAGCGGAATGGCGTTTAGAATGAGCGAGGTCAGAGAAACTGACCGAAAATGAACGTGAGTTCAGAATAAACCGAATTATTGTAAAAGCGGATCCCCCCCCCCGTTGATAAAAGAGATCACTAAGAGGGACACCTCTTATGCGAATGAATTGATAAGCGATATGAAGGGGGAGAGGGGAGGAAACACAACGAGTGTGTTTTGAGAGACTTACTTGATTATCGTCATCGTGGGGCGAATTTTTCGAGCCGGGAAGAAGCGTTAGAAACTGTAAACAAATAGAAGGAAATGGCGACCCAGCAGAGAAAGTTGAAAACGAAACCACCGGGCAGTCAGAGTCCAAAACCGGAAGAGGGAGTAGACGTCATTAAACTGCTAGCGGATATGCTTAAGCCGGTGATGGAGCAACTTGATGGCATTAACCAGCAATTGACCGTGATGAATAAGAACTTTGCATCTCAACAGCTCCAGCTGAATGAAACGGAGAAGAAAGTGGAGCAGGCAACTGAGCAAATTAAAGAGATAGACACCACAAGTAAGAAACTGAAGAAAAGAATGGGAGAAATGGAAATGAAGCAGAACTTCCAAGAAAATCGTTTGCTACAATTACAGATGGAAAAAGCTAACATGATTCTCAGGTTCCAGGGAGTTCCTGAAGCAGAGAAGGAGGACCTGAGGAAGCTGCTTATCGAGATCATCGCTCCAGTAATAGGCTTAACAGCGGATGAGTTAGTAAAAGAAATGGAGTTAGTCTACAGGGCATACTTCAATTATATTAAAAAAAATAGCCTGCCTGGAGAAATAGTGGTCAGATTCTCAAGAAGACAGACCAGAGATGCTATCTTAAAAGCGACATCAGCAACTCCACTGAAAATGGGAAATGTAATCATCAAGACCTTAAAAGACATTCCATTTGAAATTTGACAAAAGAGGAAAAACTATAAGGATTTAATTTCTTTCCTTCAGACCAATGGGATATCGTACAGGTGGGCGATCCCGGAGGGTGTCAACTTTAAGATCAACGATAAAAGAGAGAAGATAGACTCCATTTTTAAAGCAAAAGAGTTTTTGCGGCGTCAGCTGGGAACGGAGGAAGAGTCCAAGGAGGAAGAAACGAAATCTAGTGACTCTGGCACCTCTGGAACGGAAGAGGACTCTGCTGCAGAAATGGGTGCAGGCGCTGCCAGAGTTGTATACGATTTTAGAGA